CTGATATGAAAAGAGTTTGAATTCCTTATGCTTTGCCAGAGGATTTTTTAATGAACTAGCTAATACATAATTTTCTTCTGCCAGATAAAGTTAGGACCTATCAGCCATGTCATAAACTGCTAGCAGGTCTCTGAACTTCTTGTTCAGCTCAGGCAGGAACAGAATTTGTTTGGAGCAGAAGGACTGGAGAGCGATGCTTGGTGGCACTACAAACTTTTGTATGCTGGCTGCGGTGTCAGCATATGAACAGTGTAGGAGTTTCTGACAGAGCTATTAGAAAATGGGAAAATGGTTAGCCAGGGAGATTTCATGGAAATGCAGTTTCAGCAGAATCCAGCAGCTCTATGGGAGTGTGGTGACTTCAATGAAACTTGATGAATTTATAAATTGTTCAGAAATTCTCATTTTGCTTCCACACTACTGTCAGTCTATCTTAAGAACTGCAGCTTTATATGATATAAACTTTGATTAGACTTTGATTAAACTTTGATAGAGACTTTGATTAATAGTACTGTATGGAGAAGCCAGAACAAACCCCCCAGGGGCTGATGAAGAAAAAAATGTCAAGTGCTGACTAGCTAGCATAATATGCAGTAAACAGGAATGAGAAGCTAATCTATAATTTAAACAATGTGCTAATTAATACAGCATAAATAATGAAATTTGTGGTAAATCCAGGGAGTAATCTTGCCTATCTGCTCATCTAGGAGCAGCCAGAACACCATGCCCTTGAGTAAGACAACAGTAACTGTATGCTAACGGACAGAAGTGTCTTTCCAATCAGATGATCAGCAGGATTTTTTGCTTGCTGGTTTTTACTAATTTTAAGATGGGAAGTCTTTCTAAAATCAAATGGCATAGTGGGAAAATTGAAGGAAGTAAAAGGAGAGTTCCAAGGCGTGACTGACAAGTCTGTAGGTCTGATTCCAAAACAAGGTGCCACAAAAAGGGACGGCCCTGACCTTCCCTACCCACCCTGATGCCATGTTCCCCAGGCCTCCCCAGGGCTGCCACCACCAGTCATGAGACAGCCCCATGCCCCGGGGAGTACAGCTGGATCCCACGGAGCCTGAACCAAGTGAGTAATGGGAAAACCAAAAATGTCCGAGGGACCCGGCGTGCAGCCACTGGAATGACACTGATGTAATGGGAGCACACAGTTTGGGTGAGGTGCCATCAGGAATTTCCATGATTAAATCAAAGATTTTCAGGGGCAGCCTGCAGGTAAGTTGGCTTCAAGTGACTGTGGAATAACCCCACTGAGCCAACTTGCCAGTGCAGGTCTATCTATCGCTTTAGCAGTCCTAAGACCTTGGGAATTTATTGGGGTAATCCAATAATTCAAACACTTTCAACTGTGATATTTCGGTTCCCTGTGACCTGGAGGTAGATCCAGGGCCTGGTTCCACAGCCCTGGGAGCAGAACTGAAAACACGGGGTGAGGGGCTCAGGTCCACAAGGATTTTCAGGTGGTTGGTGCATGTAGGCTGGCACTGAGATCAGTTAGCCCACCCTGGCCTCCAGGGTACTGCTGTAGACTCTTTCTGGCAGCTGAACTACCTCACCTGTAGATGGTTCAGACACTTATGCCCTTATGCAAACAGATGGATGCAGGATGACCATCAGTTGTTTCAGTGGACTTTCTGCCATTGCTCCTCGCACATGCAGGGCTGCCCCATTCCTCATACAGTTGCCACCTAGGATAGGACTGGTGAAGCTACTGACTCCCACCATGAAGCTGCTTAGAAGATGACTCTCCTACAGAGTAACTAAGGAAGAGGAGAAAGCAAAAAAAAGGGAAAAAAAAAAAGAAAAAAGAAATGCAGTTTGGAGGTGCTGCTGGCTCAGCAGAGAAGTTGCTGCGGGAGTGCTGCGCTCAGAGCATGTGAAGAGAAAGGAAGGGAAACAGACTCCCATGAGGAAAAGACTGAGGAATTACTTATTTTCAAGGCACATGTGTCTTCTAGAGAGTAGATATTTCTTCAAACTCAAAGGAACCACCGGGGTGGAAAAGGTGGATGTAATAGCAGGGTTAGCACAGGTCCAGCTTAGTCCAGCATCATACTGAAGTTGTTTGTCTTCTTGAGGAATTATTCCTGAGAAATCAGCAGCTTCCCCCATAAGCCATTTCACTCCTTCCACTCTGGGAGGGACCTAGCTGCTCTGGTTGCGTTTCTTTGGGTGTCAACACAGAAGAGAGATGCCACTCCATAATGACTGTCTGTGGCTTCCCCCATAGGCAATGTTCTGCTGCAGCAGTGTTACACCATCCTTGCTAGAAGTTTACATTGCAGTTTTTTAATTCGTGCTTGGGGAGCCCAGGCAAGTGCTAAAGGATCCTTGTGGCACATCCACTGGGCTTTTGGAGTGGCCCTCTCTGCAATGTACAGAAGACTGAGAGGGAAGGTTTTGCACACATTGCGCAGTATTTTTCTTGATCTTCATAAGGATGTATGTACATGCCTGTTTATATTTCTTACCTTGATTAGCAGGGCTTGAGGAAGGAAATAAGAAGTAATCTACAACTAGCCAACAACCATTAAAAAACAGGGAACCTTCAGTCACACTGACAGCATTCTCCTGTTGGGAATGATGCTATTCTGGTCCATTTGGAATGGAAAATTTACAATTGCCTAAATAAAATACTTAACAGTTTTTCTTGAGGTTGTTAATGGCTTGATATTAGGAATACCCTGCTTATAGACCAAGACATTTCCAGTATCATTCATTTCCCATGCCAAAATTGTGGTTTGTGATAGAAGTATACTTTTAAGAACGTAGACCCGCTATGGCACTTATCAGTTGTCATAATAACTTTCTCCTGCAGGACAGAGAACTAAAAGAACAATAACAAAAAACAAGTAGCATTCTCTAAACAAAGAAAATCAATCAAACACTCTGTTTATTGATCCATGTTAGAAATCTCTATAACAGGCTCAGTGAGTAGACAGCTAGCTGAAGCATATACTTTATGGCTAGGCCTTTTAAAACACCCAGTTGTAGCCTGATACTACTGAGAGAAATTATGCTCTCCTTATGCAGCCTCACAGCAAATCTACCATCCTATAGTGCAATGCATTATCCTTAACATTTCTTTTAAAAAGGAGAGAGAACAGAAAAAGGATCTTCGCAGCTGGCAATGTACTAAAACATATTAGCTTTCATCAGGAGAATATAACGGTACTACTGTTTAAGAAAATGCTACAACCTTGTTTAATTTTCTTCGTTTTTTTTTAAATGGAGCCTTTTCTCTTTGGAATATGGAAGAAAATGGGGGAAGAGAGAATCCGTAAATATTTTCAGCCTTCTCAGCTGAAATTCATAATTATCGTTTTATTCCTTTCTGGTTTCTGATACATAGATTTCACAGAGCTGATTGCAGGCTTCAGGAACCATTTTTGCCTTTTAAATTGAAGCATTTCAGGTTTTCTCTAATTAACAACCACTTGCAGAGTACATCACAGGCTTAGTGCCTACTCACCAGCCACATTTCTCATAGACAGATCTGTTATTGCGCTAAAATGAGGGCAAGAGGCCTTCTATATTAATAGTTTATGAAGATAGCTAAATTACAGCTGACCATACAGTATTCTGGCTATGTTCTTCTCCTAAGCCTCTCTCAGGATTCTCTTTTTCTGGGGGGACAAAGCTTCTTGAAGTGATAATACCTTCTTCTGAATGATAATAGTTTGGACTGGTTGGTGTGGGGCAGCATCATTTTGAGACATAGCTGTAGGAAGTGCTTAGGCAACCTTCCTTGTACAGAGCACCAACTAATTAAAATAGAAACTTTGGCTCTCTTTTCCCCTTAAGGTGACAGAGTTTTAGATCTAAAGAAACAAAACCAAAAACCACAGGAAACAGGACAGCTGTTATTAGACGTCAGTTCAAAGGGAAGGTAAATGAAAAGCCTCTGATTTATCCACAGGAAACTGCCCAGGATGAAGGTTACCCACTTTGTTCCCAGTCCTTTTTCACCTGATCAGCCTCACTGCGTGTTACTCACAATAAGCTAACTAGACCCAGAGCTTCTTGGAGCAAGGTGCTGCGCTGTCACAGTTTTATCTTGTACAGTGGCAAGCACGAGTTGCTTCTTAAATGGCAAAAATGCTGCATTTCCTTCCTCCCTCCCCTTCTGCTCCTCCTCCCCTCCTCCCTTCACTCCTCGTTGCCTCATGACATTTGTGTCACCTTCTGGATCCCAAGTTCTCATTGCTCCCTTGCTAATTATTCCTGCGCAGGTGCAGCCGTAAGACAAAACAATGGTGCAATACAAAAGGAAAGCTGTCAGGTAGCCAAAAGTAGTGTCAAAAGAGCAGTAGAGAAGGAAATATTCTTATAGCTGTACCGCTGGCTGACAAAACCCAGTGGCAGGACATATGCATGCATTTACCATTTTAAAGAAGCAATCACGCTTGCTGAAAGCGTCAACCTCGGAAGGAAACCCAGAGCTTGAAGGAATGAATTTTGTTGTAAAGCTCAGGAGCTGACTTGTATTATTTCAGATAAACATGGCTGAGAACTGATGGACATGTATTCCATAGACACTGGCATTTTCTTCACAGAATAGCTGTTTTCTGCTGTGCTGTTTTCTGTTTTGCATAATACCATATGAACCTCATTACTGCCGTTTGGAGGGTTTTGAACATTCACAGAAAGAAGCACAGGGAGAAGAGCAATAGTTTGATTGATGCAATTTTCACATTGGCCCAGTGGATAATCAGAAGAGCTCTTCTATTACAAGGACATGCAGAAAGCAAAACATTATAAATCCTACCCACAACCCAGGGCCAATAAGAAAGGCTAAAAAAGCTCCAACAACACAGGCTTTCTTGACAGAGTCATTGTTAACAGCTTAATAGCAGCTAGCAGGCAAGATCGGCTCTTATTCCAGGAGTGCAAGGCACATAGAGGTTTGAAAGAAGGATAAATACATATGTATAGAAATTACATCTTCCTAAAATGATAAAAAAACCCAAATAGATTAAATGGACCCCTACCTTGCAGAGCCTGGAGTGTACGAGTCTGTACAACAATACAGAGCTGCAGGACCAGCTGTGGTGCACTTTCCAGAAACGTGGCTAGCAAATGCAGCATACTCACATCTGCATACTCATACACCATTTTCCAATAAAACCGCCATCTGTCATTCTCTCCACTCCGTCGACTCCGGATACCCAAGTATATTGTGTGGAAATATCTAGAAATAAAAGAGAGAGGTTATAGAAACGCAGAACAATATTTTACAGGTAACACTTCTGCTTGAAAATAACCAGTGGGGTTTTTTTTAATGTACTTCAAAATAATGAACAGTTGTTTAAAGGGAATATCATATGGCAATTTATAATAGTTGATGTGATGAGTAAACTAAACTGAAGACAAGACTTGCCTTCGTGAAACCATTTAAAAAGCTTAGCATTGTCTTATTTGTTAAATAGTATTCCTTTCAAGGACTCATTTTTCTGAATTTAAATGTAAGGGGTGGGGGTGCTGATTATATGGCCTCCCTCAGGGTTTTTTAAAATAATGGGGGGAAAAAAGCTGATTCTGCAATGGTCTCCACTCAGAACCTGCAAAGAACTGATCTCCTTTCTGTGTGGCTCTATGTGGACTTGGAAGACCACCCACACTGCAAGCCTGGGATGGTCTTAGCCTGGGGGTCTGTTATGGCTGAGCTCATTGTCCTGCTTTTCCACCCGTCTCATGCGTTGAATATCATATGTCAGATACTGCCAAATGTATAGTGTTTTTTCTCATAGTTTGATTATTTTAGGAGGAGAGAAGATCTAGCTGTGAGTTCCTATTTTAGGAGGAGCGGAGATCTGGCTGCGAGTTCCCTTGGTGACTAGAAGTGACTCAGTACGATAGCTGCCGTGCAGCAGCAGCAGTAAGAAGCAGCGGGAGCCAGGAGCCCAACAGGCTGCTGCGGCTGGCAGGAGTAACCAGCAGACGAGGGAAGTAACGGTCAGAAAGCACGTGTCAGCTCTGGTGGCCTCTGCAAGCCGGGGGAAAGCCACCTAGCGACCAGCCAATTACACAGGTGTCAGCGGGTGCAGGAGCAATGGGTGGTTTTAGAGAGCAAGGGATGTCTTCTGGTGGCCAAGCCACCCGGCTGCTGTGATGGTTTCTGTGACCCTTGCAGAGCTTGCAGCGGTCTCCCATGAGACACCTGTGTCACACCACAACGACCACTCTGGGTGGCCTTTGATCTGCTCTATTATTCCAATCTGCTCGCTGTTATTCTGTGTCAGAAAGTCTAGGCTCCCACCTTGCTCCTACAATTTTAGTTCAAAACTAATTAAGGCTGGCTGAAAAAAACAGTCTCACCTAATGAAAAGTTCTGAAGATTAAGATACTGTCTTGCATCAGGGTGTCTTGCATCCTACTGGAGTGCCCTGCTGGGCTACTAACTGATGGGGATCTCTGTTTCTCTTTTTCTCAATGTATCTTTCACATCCTGCTCCTGAAGGGATTTCCTTATTATCATTTTAATATGTTTTCACAGCACCTTTTCTTTTTTCCAGTGAGGTTATATTTTCTAATAAGGAAAAATTTTAGTAAATTTTAACCACTTCCAATATTATTTTAATTGGTTAAGATAAAATATTTCAGTATTTCTCCTCCTTTTCACAAGTCCTTGTCTTAAAACCCTTTTCATAACTGGCGGAGCACAGTGAATTATGGGACTTCTTTACATATAGACTGCATGCAACCCTTCACGCCTCTTCTGTTCACGTGTAACTCCAGCAATATCTTCTACTGATGAGATTTTTGGCCTCTGACTGGCAGAACGGCCCAAGACTCAGTTGCCCCCTCAAAGAATGACCACTGTGCTTGTACGTAACGAACCCTCGTAACCAATGTACACGCCACTGCTGAGCAACAGCTTTACTCAGGAATACGCATCAAACAGAACCAGGGAGTAGCACAGAGAAACTGCTGAGAGGCCAGATCGGAGCCTGCAGCATTTCTCTTGACAGCGCACATCATAGCAATATAAAAGGAAAACACATTAAATTCACATTTAAATTAAAATCACACCAGGTGGCTTTGAATTTTATCAAAGTCCCATGTGGGAGTGAAGCAGCAATGAACCGCTTAGAGACTGAGACCACAGAGGTACAGTAAACAAGACACCAACTCCACCTCTCGCGCAGAACACTGCACAGGTCTAGATGGGTCAGAGTATGATGGGATAACAGGGGCTCTCTGATGTCCTCAGGGTTAGGTAAAGTGAAATGGCCTGCTGCCCAGATCTGAAAGAAGCCACTGAGCTGGAAAGTAATCTTTTGCTGTGTAGTTCTTCTAATGGGGTCTGTCGGTCCCCCAGGATCTCAGTCACAATCAGTTTAATTATTCCTAGCCCTCCGATTAGTGTCCTGCAGCACAACAGAGACAGGTAAGACTTGGATTTCCTTCTGCAGTTTGGTTTTTGGGTGGCCTGCCTCACATGGCCTCCCAAGGGGCACACCTGGGAATCTTGCACAGAGTGGGCAGAGAGCGTCTTCAGCATCCTTCTTTTGAGAGATGACTAAGCCTCGCTATAAATACATAAAGTAGCTTTGGCTGCCGAGGGTTGTGCCAGGAGGCTCTAGCTCTGCCAATGGAGCCATCTGCAACTTCAGTTCTACAGCATTTGTGCAAAAAATACTTTTCCTATTATGAAAATGACATGCTGTGCCAGGCAACATCCCCCAGGGTTCTTTACCTGCTCTGCAGAGTGGTTGTGCATGGCAAATATGTTGTGATTAATGAACCCTTATGGAAATATTTCCTCTCCCATTGCACTTTATTGTGAAACACTGGCAGTGAGTTATTGGGGACTGGGGAATCATTGCTCTTTGTCTACTTAGCTCTCTGCAATTTAGACACAAGAGGCAGACAAGGAAGGTACTTTCTCTTTTTACACACTGGGGACCAAATTTCAGCCTAGGGTGATATTTTTCTGTCCTATCAATTTCGGCCAAATTAATTGCAGGCTGAAATAAGCATTTACACACATAATTACTGTCACTGATTTATAGGCACAATCAGGTGATTAGACAGCTAAATATTCTCATTTGCATCTACAATTAATTGCACCAGCAACTGATGTTAGGTGTGCAAATTAGCAGTTATTAAAATAAAAAGATGGTCTTATAAAATGCTTCATATATCAAAGAAAATTATTTCCATGTAGTGAAATTAAAAAAAAATAAAAATGGGAGAAAGTGCTTTTCTTGTTGTGGTTTCCAAAGATAGCTTAACACTGCAGTAATGACACATTTCATTATATATATATATATAT